ATGACTAGCAAATAAAGGGGCGTTTGGCTAAGCCTAGCAACAGAATTAGCCAAAAAAAATTATAAATATAAGAATTAATAAGCGAGAGTAATAAATTAATTACTGTTTTGGCTCCTTGGCAACTCTACCAAGAGCAGAATGTTAATCTTTTACACCAAACTTTAAATTACTTGGTTAACGGAATAAAAATTATCGGTTTTCTTCTGGCAATTTTTTTGCCGGAAACTAGTGTTAATATTTACCAAATATTTAATTGGGAAAAAGAGAAAATAAATTGGGATAATTTATTGGACTTTAATTGTATAAACCAAGTAAAAATAAACAGAGTGGGGGGGATTTATACCCGTTATTTTTCGGATTAACCTAAAACTACGTTTAAAAAAAAGCATCATTTTTGCTGCCAAGAATTTTCTACTCGTTTTCGCTTTCCTACAAACACACAAACTAAATCATTTCGCAAAAATAACTGAATTAGTTCATATTAAGCCGGGCAGTTTTCGTTTCATTGCTTGTCTGCTACTCTACGCCGAGCGAGAACAATCTCCAATTTTTTTTGTTGGTAATAGTAACAAGAATATTTTGGCACTAACAACCACTCAAAACGGAAAGTTAACTTACTCGTTGGCAGTAGCGTAGTATTGCAAAAACGTTTATTCTACTCTCACTTCTTGCGTTCGGCTTTCTAAGGATTTAGGAATAGTTATTGTCAAAACTCCGTTGGCAAAATTGGCTTTGATGTTAGTGCTGTCAGCGTTTTCCGGCAAACTGTAATCTCGGCTAAAAGAGCCGTAAAAGACTTCTGAATAATGTTTCTCGGCGTCTTCGACCAATTTTTCTTCTTTCCGTTCTCCCGAAACTCGTAAAACTCGGTTGGTGATTTCAATTTTGGTGTTTTCTTTTTTTACTCCCGGCAAATGAATTTTGAGATAAAAATGATTTTTATCCTCGCTTAATTCACTAGGCAAGGAGAATTCTTCTCCTCAGTCCTCAGTTCACGTTGGTCACCACACCTCATTAAAAATTCGGTCGAGAGTATTTTGTAAATTTCTTAATCCCCGTCAAGGGTATTTTTTGGTTAAATTGATTCTGTTCATAATTCTTATATTTATAATTTTTTTTGGCTAATTCTGTTGCTAGGCTTAGCCAAACGCCCCTTTATTTGCTAGTCAT